CCAAGAATTCTGCAAACATGACTGATGCCAAATCAAGTTGTATTATATGCTTACAAAAAGAGACTATTAAATTCAGAAATTTAGAATGCCTGTTCTTCTTACACCCCTAACTAGAATATAAACTCTAAGGACAGAACTGAAAAGCTGAGCTGCCTACCTGCATGGACTAACTAAAAAATTGTCAGGCAGTGAAACCTTTGTCTATCATAATCACTTTATCAGCAGTTATGGAGGGTTTAGTGAGACTGGGGCTTGTGGTATGCCTTTGACAACTCTTCAGTTTTGTAGGCACCACAGCCCAACAGAAAGGATTCCTCAGTGTGTGCCTAACTCAAATAAGGGACACAATCTTCTTCTGGCTGGACTCCTTAATCCCATTTTTGTCACCCTAAACTATATTCCCAACTATATACCTCCAACTAGGGAGGTATAAAGTTTAACATCACCCTCCCAATTTAGGAACTTCCAGTTCCTTTAGCTAAAATTTTTCTATTCTGTAGAAGAATTTAGGAAAATATATGCCTCCTTGCCCATTTGAAGTTAACTCCTGAAAATATAAATATATCAAGTTTAGATAGTTTCAAAAGATATGACTGCTGACATATTGTTTAGTTTATACATACTTTTACGTCTCTTTTTGTCAAAACTTTTGACACTTTGGCCTTAGCCTATTAAATTTACAGACAAGGTTCACTATATAATTTAATTGGAAAAGCCAGTTCTTACAGTCAAGCCATCTAGCAAAATCAGACTTGCTTTCTGTCATATCAAGCTGATTTTATTTTTTCAGTTTGAATAAAATGTCAGTGCACAACTCATGACTGCCATCTCAGTTTTGAATTTAAGTTCTTGGATCAGTGTCTAGACAGAGGAAAGTGTATAACCATGCCAAAGAGTGTATGCCTGGGTAAAATCAGAGATTGTTTCCTCTCCTAGACTCCTTGTAGAAGTGGCATGCAAAATTGTTGCATGTAGGTTTCAGGAAAGTGAGAAATGTGCATTTTTTTTTTCTGATGTGGGAGTAAGGTGATTTTGAAAGTGGGAGTGGATAAAAAAGAACTTATAGACCACAGGCACATATGTTCTTAGGAACAGCGGTTTTAGAAAAGACTATATATAGAAGTTAAGGATTTGCACATTTGTTTCCTTAGAACTGCTCATATCCAGACACTCCTTGGAAAGTCATTATGTACCCCAGAGGTATGTGTGCTACACTTTTAAGACCACCACTCTGAGATATAACAGTACCCCTAAACTAGATCAGTCAGTGACTGAACAAATTAACTAAACTTCACTCAGTTAATTGTCCTCATCAACATTTCACAGAGGTAGAATTTTCTAGAGAACTGTCACATAGAAGGATCAGCACTATAGAACTCAGTCTTTCTGTCCAGTACCTATATTTCAGTAGGTCTGGAGTTGTCATTAAGAAAGCTTCCAGCAAGCCACACAGGATACTGTTTGTCTCTAAATATTTGAAGGGAATTTGGGGATAGGAACATGATTATTTTGAAATGTAATGTTTCAGGTGCCAGAATGAGAAACATTGAAAGTTAGGAGGAGGCAGTTTTTAATTCAGCATAAGGAAGGAGGTCAATACTTTTTTTATCATTTGTATTTTAAAATTCCATAAAGCTTTTATAACAAAACTGTAAGCTAAATAATGTTACCATGAGGAAAATGAGATTCTGAGAGGGCTAGTAATTCACACATGGATTTCAATCTAGTTTGGTCTGGTGATCCCAAAGCCATTATATAATGCTGCCTGAACCTCCCCCCAGTACCTTTATAGAATGCTATCTGCCTAACATCCTAGTTTATTAAAAATAAATGCTTTATGCCTATTCTTCTGACACAGCAATCCCACATCTTTGAATCTTCTTAAAAATAAATTGGCAAGCCAGGTGCAGTAGTGCATGTCTGTAATCCCAGTAGCTCAGGAGGCTGAGGCAGGAGGATCGCGAGTTCAAAGCCACTCTCAGCAAAAACGAGGTGCTAAGCAACTCAGTGAGGCCCTGTCTCTAAATAAAATACAAAATATGGCTGGAGATGTGGCTCAGTTGTTGAGTGCCCCTGAGTTCAATCCCCAGTACCTCGCCCCCCCCCAGCGCGCACGCGCAGACACACACACACACACACACACACACACACACAAAATGCATTAATAGGTGCTGAAAAGAATCTCAATAGGGGCTGGGATTGTGGCTCAGCAGTAGAGCACTCACCTAGCACGTGCGAGGCCCTGGGTTCCATCCTCAGCACCACATAAAAATAAATAAATAAAATAAAGATATTGTGTCCAGTTACAACCAAAAAATAAATATTAAAAAAAAAAGAATCTCAATAACCTCTTGAATGCCACCCAAGGCAGAAATCCTAAGTGTTGGCTCTTAGATGTTTTCAAAGGGGAAATGAATACCGAAGTGGAAGGCTGTGTTCCTTCACCTGGACATTCAGGACTTTTATAGACTATTTCAGATAGAATCTTACAAGCATAAACTTGCTTGCATATTAGGTAAAGGAGGAGTATTTCGGAGAGGAAATGCTGCCTAATACCAATGATAGGTTATTATTGTGAAAAATGGGTTATTAATTATGCAAATAAGATACTTATCTTTTGAAGTTGCTGTTTTGAAGAAAAAAAAAGTATGACCACCACACCCTTTTGTCTCACCTACTAAGCTGTAAAAGTCTGTAAGGGCATGTATTATGTTCATCATAGTCTTTTGTGCCTAGAATTATGCCTAACACATGGTTGATACTCAAGTAATATTTGAAAGTAGTATTTGAAAGAATACAGTAAATGATTTGACAGAGTCCCAAGAACTTATGTTTTAAAATGTGAGATAAACTTTATCTTTCAGATGCAGGAACAGTCTCTTTTAGGATAATGAGAAACAATTTCAATCAGTCAAGACTTCTAACCTCTTCCCTATGCTTTTCTCCAAGTCTGATAGTAAAAAAATTGACAACTGGAAAAGAATTTATGTATAATTTGATATTTCTGATTTGTAGTTTTGGACCTCTTTGAGGCTATTATGAAAATTATGACCTTTCTTAGACAAAGGAACACACAGACAAATCACTGTATACAATTTCAGTGGGTTCATGAACCCTTTAAAATACGTATCTCAGGAATTCTAAAAAGTGAACTTCAACCTAGGGAAAGAGCACAGTCATCATGCTGAGCCTCTTGTATGAAGTAAAACTGACAAGGTAACATTAAGAGCTTGCTTTGAATATAATACCAAGGGGGAGAATATAGTGCTGGTTTCAACTATGTCTTGATTCTTGTGAAAAATTTTTATAGAAGACCCTTTGTTCCCATCAGAACAGATGTCATCAAATATTGATGTAATGACAGTTCACTGGCATCCTCCATCCCATGACTGGACAACCAGCAAGAAAACAAAGTGGAACTAGGGCAGAGGTTGGATAGGGAAGTTGACTTAGTTGGTTCTTTTGGACTTCAGTGTGTATGTAATGTAATTTGTAGGCCCCGTGTCTTAAATATTTTCACCTTTAATGGAAGTATTAGAAGTCTGTTGCCTAGGGTATTTTCCCCTAAAGCCTTTCCCAGATAGACACACACGACACAGATTTTGTATAGATATTGATAATATCTTGTGAGAAGCAAAATTTTTAGGTCATAGCTAGGAACTAATGCACCGTGGAACTTTACTTTGTCTACCAGCTTGACTGCTTTAGAGTTTCTCTGGCCAAAAGTAAACCTTAAGCTTTAAGGACACAAACCTTTCTGTGTAACCATAAGATTTTTATATCTCTTAGAGCTTTACTTTCCTCATCTGGTTCATGGGGATAATAATAGTTGTATATCTTAGGATTGGTGTGAGGGGTGATAGGAAAAATGGATGAAGAACATTAAGCCCAGATTCCTGGCCCACAATAAGCACTAAATCAGGTTGGCTTTTGTTATTATTTTAAAGACAAGTAACTCTATAAGTGAGTGAGGAGATTCTAGGCAAGTTTGCTACTTTTTCCCTTCTACGGGTGAGCATCCCTGCCACCTTGTTTCCATTGTCCCTGCCTTCTCCTTGACCCTGTCCCTATTTAGACAGTGCTCTTTGTCAGGATCAGACCAGAAATGTTATGACTGAGCAGCTGAGGTACTAGCCATGCCTCTGGGACTCTACAACTCAGTTTTTGGCTGCTAGAAACATCACAGACATCTGGAATACTCTGGTTAGGGCATTAATAACTAGCCATTCCTTCCAACTCTGTCCATCCTTCCTTTTCTTCCTGTTGTATTTCACTCCCTTTTAAAAAAGCAGTTTGTTGGTTAAGCACGTCTCTGTGCCTTAAATGGTACTACTTCTGAATGTATAGTAATTGATAAAGTATTAACTACTCTTACATGCTCTAGTAGGGCAGAGAGAGAATAAATAACCAAGTATAAAATGTGGTGAGGGCTGTGAAAGAAATAAGATAGAGAATAACCAGGGAATCCTATTTCAGTAGAGTGCCTTCTCTGAAGGGATATTTAAACCCAGGGACTGACCTGTGGCAGGAATTGAAACATTGCATTTATTCCAAGTGCAGAATGCCATTGATAGCTTCTCCTTGTTCTCCTAACAACAGGTGATTTAAGCCTTCGAAGAAATCAAACTCCTAATTTTCACCATCACTTTATTTTGTCAATTAAGTTTACAAGGATTATGATCCTCCCCTTCTCCTTTTTTTAGCTATTCGTGTACTGTATATAGGCACTGTGCATTTTTGCATTTTATATATATTCTCTCAATTCTCTAGTCACCCAAAAAGTAAGTTTTGTTATCATCATTCTCCCAGTAGTCAGATACAGAAATCAGAATTCAAAGAAATCAAGTCACTTGCCCATATATGGCCACACTGCTCAGTCATGGTAGTTAGAACTCGAATCCAGGTATGTCTGACAACAAAGCTGGTGTCATCAACCAATAGACTGTGTTACTCCCTTCCTATGACGGCTTAACTCACCTGCTTCTCCTTTTCCTTTGTAGTGGTGCCAGTGAAGAAGAGGACACATGAAGGCTTGCCATCAGAGTGGAAAACCACCCCTTCCCTTGTATGTGTGTGACAGCGTGTGTGTAATGGCTTCTGATTTCTGTGAAGGCTGCCCAGCAACAAATGTACTTCCACTGGATATGTCCCCAGATCCATAGCAGGCATATATCTCTCCAAGGAATGACCAGTTTTATGCTTACCACTTACTTCTCATTCTTGTTGCAGTAGGTCAAGGAAAGAGCCCTTTTGATCAACCAGGAGCAATTGAAAAGGGTCTTTCAGGGAACTCCTTAATGGCTGCTTTGAACTGACTCAGGAAAGCTAGCCCCTATAATATTGGGTAAGTCAACAGTATACTTCATTAGGAAGGACCTGGACTAATCATGAAAGGAAGTCAGAGCTTTTTGCCTACCTGCAAACAAAAAACCTACTTTGTTCATACTGAAGCATGAAACACATGAGGACAAAGTGGGGCCTTATTGACTCATGTCCACAGTCTCTAAATAGTCCAGTTCTACCTTTGTGAAATGTGGTGCCGTGAATTAGGATGGATGGCCTGAAAATGAGGTTGGAGAAAAAGTTAAAAGCTAGAAAGACCACAGATATTTTTAGCATATGAGGTTATCCAGGACTTCAGATTCATAATTCAGTGCTATGGAAATGAAAAAGATGATTGAAGAGGTGGAAAGGAAATGACCTGGGGGTGGGACACAGAAAAGAGGACCAAAGAAATCTGATTAAAATTTGAAATCAATATTTCTGAATTTAACTTGCCTGAGTTTCCAAAATAGTCACTAAAGACTCTGATAAAACCTGGATTGTTTAGATGAGTTCTGCAGGTTTTATGGGCTTATCACAACATGAAAGTTTGGAAATGTGTATTGCCAAATGGGAACTTTCATTGTAGATTTTTGCCATTCCCTCTGCCAGGTTAGCTTAATATGGCTTAATTGCAGTATGGGGAGAATTCTTGCTACTCTATAGCTTGCTGAATTCAGTTCCATCTCCCAGCAAATATTCCTTTATTTTACATTAATTGGAATCCTTCCCTTGGCCCTCCCTACCCACAGACCTTCAGGTCATCTCTTGCACCCTGGCTCTCTCCTCTTCAGTAACATGAGCAGAGATACCCTGGAGCTTAGATTTCCTGGCCTTTCTCCATTTCTAAATCACAATTTCTTATAGCATTATACCCCCTGGGAAGCAGTGATGTGCTAGTGAAATATAAAATTGTAAGCTCAAAAGCACGCTTTCTTCCTGAGATGTCAGTTTTCCTTAACAAATGGTTTGAAGTCAGGGGATAACCTTATTTTTATATAAAACAAAAACAGTTATATTATGGAATAGAATGTTCATACACATAAACTGTTAAGATAAAACGGGAGACTTGGAAGGTAATTCTTGTTTGCAAATGGGCTATGTGTTCCCTCCCTCTGCCTTTAGTGGTGTTTCCATGCTCACTTCTGAGGAACACAATTGGAACTATATCCAAGCCCCTTGGGATTGCTCTTGCCCAAGGTCCTAAACTTCTAATATCCCTGAGGCAGAGCCAAGGAGCCTGCGTTTAGGGAAAGCCCTTTATTCCTGCCTGTCTGCTTGCCTGCTTGTGACCTGTGTGATAGCTTTGGGGGCCAGCTGCTGAGTGTGTGTGCAGGATGGTTTTGAGGCAGAAACACAACTTGCTTATCGTAGGAGTCCTGTTTATATCATTTGTATTTATGTCATTGTTCAACACTGTGCATGTGATGAAATGACTTAATTTCTTTGAGACCAGGAAGCTATAAGCATATATGCTGCTAGTTACAGTTATCCTAGCTCACTGCATATGCAAGGAGACTGGGAGGAGTTTGAGCTGTTTTTCACCAAAAAAAAAAAAAAAAAATGCTCAAAAAAAAACAGGAACAAGTAGCTAAGATAATTTTGGTGCTTCATTTATCTGTCTGTAAAGACTGGAGAATTCAGTATACTGCTAGTTAACAACCTTCAACCATATCCACAAAACCATCCTAAAAGATGGACCAATGGCCACTCTTGAAAGAGTTTAAAATATCAGAAGATTTAAAAGACTAGGATTTGGAAACTTGTATTGTCTTTCCCCAATAATCATTGTTTGATCTTCAAATGGTAGCCTTGTATTAGCAATAGAAAGATCATTGGCTCTCCATATCTGATCATATGTTATTACTTTAAGTCAGTATTGGAAAATCCAAACATTTATGCAGTAGATACCAACAGAATTGTAGGAATATGTGCCAACTTGTCTCAATAAATTATCATGTCTGTAATCCTCAAGGAAAGCACTTTTGCTTTTACTTAGAAAGGGTCTCAGATTTGCTTTATGGACTCCTGCTGTCTTCAGCACCTGATAAAACTTTAACCAAGGAAGCATTAAACAGCACAGCAGCTTCTGCCCAGGCTCCTAAGTTCCTGCTGGCAGCATTTATCAATATACAAACTAGGATGCTTCCTGCAGTGGCACCAGCTTCCCCCCAGAGCTGGAGCACCAGCTTCCCCCCAGAGGGAAGCCTCAGAATGCTTGGCCTTAAGCCCCAGCATTCTGAGGCTTCCCTCCCATCAGGTCAGTAGAAATGACAGTGCTCAGAATTGTGTCCTAACTGGTTGCAGGCAGAAATCTTTGGGGAGAAGTCATCAAGGGATGCAGATAACGGATGTCTCCAGAATGAATCAGGTACTCACAGCAGTTCCTGGCTGCCTTCCAAATGTTGGGTTTCTGGATGCAGAGAGGGATTTGTCCTTTGATTTGGTATCATTAAATCCAGGACAATCCCAAGAAGTGCTTGAACTCTCAGGTTATTGCCCAGGAATTTTCTGGAGAGTAGCCTATATTAGGGATCAACTATGAGCCAGGCCTTGTACTACACCTTCATTCTTAGATGATAAAACAGAGGAAGTCATTGTCTCATGTTGCACAGCTAGGAAATATTGGAGCCAGTTTTGAATCCAGCTCTCCAGCCTCTCCAGAAACTCCTTTGTCCCATCCCACGGGACACCTACAAATACAGAGGGAGTCAAGATTTCTGGTTCTCTTGCTGTACTCTGACCATTAATTTGAATTTTTCTCAAAAAGACACTTCATGGCTATAGTTTGGGCTCAGAAATGACATTAAAGTTGCTTCATTCCTCTGCTTTAGCAGACACTTTAAGTACATATTGCTAACTTGGGCCTGCCCCTTGCTCCTGAGGGAGCCTTTCCTTTTTAGTGCCATTTCCCATAAATAAGGTGTTTTTCAAAATAGAAAAAGTGAAGAGTGTTCTGCTCTCTCCTCTAACTTTATTTAAAAGCTCTACTTCTTTATTCCTGCAGAAAAGGAAATCTTTGTATTTTAGTAAAGGTAATCTCTCTTCCTGTGCTTTATTAGGTGAACCAATTCAAAGTCACAGTAAATCTAGACTGTCTTATTGATACCTGGGGCGGGGGGGTGGATATCTAAATGATAAATGTTATGTGTATATATGTACACGCACATACAATTTAAGAATGAAGGGAAGCTCTAAGGAACCCTTCACTGTTTTGCACGATACCTTCTTCCTGCCTGATTACAAGTCCCACCAGATGATTGGAGTTTACATGTTCATTTCCAAGAAGAGTAACTCCCTGGTGGAGGTTGTCAGTTCCTAAAGCACTGAGCCAAGGTGTCAGTCCTGAAGGAAATTTCACTCCAGCTCTCCTCCATAATTGTGTTTGTGTGCCTGACCATTTGGTGACCCAAGCCATTTTGGTCACTCTACTGGGGCCTGCGGGCTCAATTGCAGAATTCACAAACTTGTTGTAGTAGCAGAGCCTAGGAAGTCCTTTCCCCCGACATAGAAAATATCCTCCTCCTGATTCCTGCAAGTCTGCCCTCATATAATGGCTGTTCAACACATGTTTTTTGTTGAAAATCTCATTATGGATCAAGTCCACCCCAGTCCTAAGAGAAAAAGAAAGCTCACACAGGAGACTCCAGGTCTCATATTTTCTTTGCCTAGCAGTGTTTCTTTAACCTGCACCCCCACCCCCACCTCCAACTAACCCATTCCTAGAGCCATAAGACCCAGGCAGTTCCTGGGAGGGACAATAGTACCATATGGAATATTGGGGACCTGCCAGGTAAGACAGGTTCGTGTGGAATACTGAGCACACCAAAACAAGGAAGGGACAGAGCAGGAAATAGTAATAAATGAAGACACTGGAGGTACACTGGTACAAAAAAAGCCACAGAACCCATGCTGGGTTTGATACGACCATGAGGGGACAGCACATTTATACTTGATGGGAGTAAAACCTGACTAGTCTTTTTTTTACAGTGACAGGCCACACTGCATGAGTGAGTAGAACCAACAAACCTGTTGTTGTACTCTGCCTGTTTTCCTGTGCGGTCACATCTCCTCTTCCCCTTCTACCCTTCCACTAAACAAGGGAACACTCAGTCTTTCAAGGGAATTACACATTTGAGTTAATGTTTCAGTATATCATTTTCATACTGTAAATTATTTTGTAAGAGAGATTTACTGCTATCCCAGGATGTTCAGACTCGGCGCCCCTGTGCATTTGGAAATCAATAAACTATTACTGGAAATACCATTTGTCTCTTGGAGTTGTGCACAAAGGACCCTGCTAGGTGTAAATATTCATGGCGATTTACATATCTAACTGGTACTGCTAGAGAAGATGGTGTTTGGGTTATTAGATGTGGGAGGCTGATTTACTCCTGACTTTCCCCAGAGTGTCTTAGGAGATCCCTGGGAAGTGGCAAAAGGGCAGACTAAAGATGGTTATTTAGAGACATGTTTTCTCCTCTGAGTAAAATGACCAATGTCTAGGTTAATTTTACAAGCAAAGTATATTATAACAAAGAATACTTGGTCCTGAATAATGTTTTAAATAACATTTGAAGCTTTATAATTTGTATTAATTAGGAAGAAGGTCCAATTTTAATTTTTACCCCATTTTGCAAAAAAAAAAAAAATATATATATATATATATATATAAATTAAAGCTAAGCCAGCAAAATCATCTTTGTGGAACCTGAGAAGTACATATTTTCATATAATTGGTGAAGAGATGGAATTAAGTTTTAAGTAATTTTAATCTCCTAATACAGCAGAAATTGCATTAAAACCATAAGTCATATACTCAGAGACTTTCAGGGGCCACATGTGAAGGACGGAAATAGTAGAACCATGTGAATTAAAAAATAAAAATAAGCTCTGCCTAAAGACATTAAAATGCAGTGTTTAAAAATCCTAAAACTCACTAGCAGATGTGTTGGGGTGGGGGTTGGGGTTCAGTTTGCCAAACCTGATCTGAATTTCCTTCTGTCATTTTATCTTCACTGACCCTTTTAGTTGTAGACTATGAGAACTTTGGGGAAATTGTCCAAGGTAGGAAGATAAGCCACTCAAGGTCACCTAATAAGCCAGGCTACTGAAGCTCAGGACTATAGACTGACTGTCTCCTATAGCAATCATTAGGCCCTACTTCCTCCCCAATTGCTGAGGACACTACTTGTACCTGGTGGGATGGCCTTACCAAGCACTGTAGCACTTGAGAGTCTTCAGTTTATTAACCACAATGTATCTGGAGGTTTTCTTCCCTACTTCCTGGTGCCAGAACTTCAACATCATATCCTGTTGCCCCAGCCCTTCTCGTTTTATTATCTTTCCCTCAGAAACCTACAACTCTTTTAAATATCTTTTTAATTGATGTTTTCTTGGTGCAACTTCACAGAACCTTGTTTCCTTTGCACACATAAAAGGGTAAAATTGCAGCTTGGCTGGAATATCTCCTGGTCTTAACCAAGGTACCAGAGTGAGATGCACCCAACAGAAAGTCAGGCTTCTGGTCTATAATGGAAAAGATATTACAGCAAAGGAAACAGGAACAACAAAGACTTCTCAAAGTCATTAACTGGCTGTGCTGAGCATCTGTACTTTGTTAAATACTGCAGTCTCCAGCTTTAAAACATTTTTGTTAACAATAATAGCTACCATTTAGTGAGCTCCTTATCTGAGCCAGGTGCTCTCCAAGTTGCTTTTCACATTATGTCTCACAGCACTAATACCATCCCTCATTTTATTGCTCAGGTTATACCCTAATAAGTGGGGAGCCAGGATTTCAACCCAAGTCTAGCTCTTAATCTCTTCATTCCTTTCTGTACTTGTTCTATCTTGTATTGAGAAATATGTCTTACCCGCTCCCAGTACTACCCCTGCATTATGGCCTGGGGGCAAATGAATTGGCCCTTTGCTAGGCCTTGCTCAGTGAGAGTACAGTGAAGGAAGGAGGACTAAGGATAGCTGGAACTAACCTGGAACTCCTTTTGGAAGGAGAGAACTATTAGACTTGAATTTTCTTCTAAGGCCATAAATGATGAAATTACCAAGAGAGGCAACACTGTGCCTTTTTTTGCTATAGTGCTAGAATCTTAAAAGTCATCCAACTCTGACACTGAGTCTGTAATTTAATTAAACATCTTGAAGGTGTCTCCAACAGCTTGACATAAGGCCAGCTTCATATTCTTGGAAAAAGATAGGTGGGGAAAAAAAGCTATCTGTTTAGAAGTTCACTTACTGAGTTTGGCCGTCATGGCCACAGCGTTCAATTTGCCTTATGAAAATGACAGTCTTCATGCCATTTTAGGATTCAATAGCAACGCATTTACCTAGGGCTCAGCCATCTTGACAACTCTACCAATCCAAACTTCCTGAGCCTAAAATGCAAACAGGTGGTTTGACAATGAGAACTTGACACAGAGTTGGAAAAATCAGCAGAAGTTCAACACTCAAAATGAGCCAAAAGTAGGAAGTAAGCAAACAAGGCTCCTGACGAGTTGAAGTAAATGCTGTAAAGCAAACACATAAGAGAAAGGCCATACCTCTGTACATCAGGCACCTGCTCAGAACTTATTCTTACTTCATACACAATTCAAAATGTTTGAAAAGTTTCTAAGCCTATAGCAGAGTAAGGGAGAGAAACAGACTTCCAGAGAAACTTGGGTCAAGAAAGAAGAAGTGACTAAAGGGCTTCAGAAATCCTATTTATGTGGAGAAGACTTAAGCAGCTCCATACACAGCTCAATCCCAGAGAGTCTCACTGTATCAGGACAATATGATTATAATCAACATGATGACCATAGCATCACACCCAAGAAAACTAAATTATGCCTGGAAGAAAGCAATAATTTGTAGGGTGAAATATTTTAGAAATATATCATAAATGATAAGACTTGTTAGGGATTGAAAGGAATAAGCCCTTAACAATCTAGAACATTCAGCTAAACAAAATATGTGTCCCTTTACCTGAGGTTGCATTGTTCCACAAGTCTCTTGTTTAGGTTTTTTTTTTTAATATGTGTGTGTGTTTTCACATATCTGTAAGTGACTTTCATGCTACAGTGCTTTGCATATAATGGCATGAACAATGGAAGTGCCAAGTTTTCATTGTGATGAATAAAACTAATAACCAGAATACAGGTCAAATTCTGTTACAACAAATACTGCTACTATAAAAATCACTTAAGCATCCCTGTTATCTTTAAGTCCTGTCAATTGCCCATTTATTTTAGGCAAGAGTCATTACAACAAAATTGCAGTATAATAAAAAGAAACTGTACCCTCCCCACCAGTTGGGTGTAACACAATTGAACCTGTAATAATAGATTCTCACTTTTATTTTCCCGGCTCTTTGCTTGCAAGAAGAATAAAACTTATGTTGACACAATACTAGCATGGAAAGCTGATGGTTAGTTGTTGCTAGGAGAAGAAAGAATTCAGAAGCAAAGCAAATACGGAGTTGAATGGCAACCTCTCACTAGGGAATTTGGTGTCTAAGGCCACTTTTGACCCTAATCTGTGTTGGAGCCATTAACCAAAGAGTTGCTTGCTTATAATAATGATGTAATGTACATATTAAGCCCTGGAATGAAGACATGATTCATTTCTCATGGATCATTGAGTACTTTGTGGTAACCTGTCCCTGATTTGATGACCCTAAGATAAAAATCCAGAAGCACGTGATAGAAACTATCATTTCTCCCATGATGCACTTCAACTCTGAAGGATTGTAAAAGCACATGCCAAGTTGATTATATATAGAAATAGTCTTTAGTCAGCTGCATTCCATTTGGTATTCAGGCAAGTATTTTTTCATCCCGGTCTTCCTTTTGCTGGTAGTAATGAGTTTTGACATTTGCTATAACATTATCTGACTATCCATCTTTCTTTTACTTATGACTTCATTGCAACTAACATTTTGTAACAGTCTTAATAGCAGAGGGGATTAAATCATAGTTTACTTCAGAACTCTACAATCAGTAATAGGAAAAGGAGGGGGGAGGGAGAAAGAAAATTTCCAGATGATAATGCCTGGCTTAAGGCCCCAGATTCGTATCACACTCCAAAGAAGTTCATAAATTCCAGGCAGTGCTCAGACTTGGGAGGCAGGCAGTGTCTCTTCACACTTCACGGCGATATGAGTGGTCTGTTGAAGACACGCCATTAGAGGATATGTTCACCCCTGCTTGCTTTCTTCCCAAAGCCATAGTAGAGTTAAACATTTATGTGTTCCAGGCCAGGAGATCAGATTAAAGCATTGACTGCTTTGCTTGGCTCTTGAAAACACTTGAATCCAAGTATCAGGCTTGAGGGTGGCCATTTGCTGTGCACCATTTTTATTAGGACATCTGGAGATTAGAGGTGTTAATTGGAAGTAATTTTTCTGTATTTGATTTCTCCCCACGCATTTTGAGAACTTTTAGATCCAGCTGGATGGCTGAATCCTAGTCTCAAATTCAGCCTATTTCAAGTGGGCAAAACTACAAAGGCAGAAAAGATTGCTCCTAGACTTGGTGGTGGTGGTGGGAGCATCAGGGGGGCTTTGGGTAGGGAAGATGATAACCCATAATAACAATAGAAATGGGTATTTTTCTGTTTGCAGACTATATAATCAATTGTTGTGAACTGTAGTCACCTTGTTTTGGAGATATATATATATATATATATATTATAAAACTGTATTTTGGTACCCATTATCCAAGCTTCTTTATCCCTTCTCTCTGCTGCCCTTCTTAGCCTAGTGACCACCAATTCTCCTTTCTACTTCTATGAGATCAACATTTTTAGTTTCCACCTATGAATGAGATCATGCAGTATTTGACTTTCTGTGCCTGATATATTTAATACAATATAATGCTGTCTAGTTCCATTCATGTTGTACAAAATGACAGAATTTTATCTGTATTATGACAGTAATATTCCATTGTGGGGCTGGGGATATAGCTCAGGGGTAGAACGTTTGCCTAGCATGTGTGAGGTACTGGGTTCGATTCTCAGCACTACATATAAATAAAATAAAGGTCCACTGACAACTAAAAAAAATTTTTTTTAAATATTTCATTGTGTATATAAACCACAAGTATCAAATTATCACCCCATGAATATTTACTGTTATTATGTGTCAATTAAAAATGGGTATTTTCTTAGCACACCATTTCCCATTTGCCAACAGGTGTATTCTGACCTATTTTCCCCAAACTCACACATCCCCTAGAAGATCCTGACCTGTCTTGTCAAACAAAGACATTCTTCTTGAGATCATACCTAATCTATTTGTGGCCAAACTATGCTTGCCTATTTGCTCCAAATAAGGATGCCTCTCCCCTTTGGCATGAAGACAAAAATGTGGAGGAAGAATTAGGTCTTTTGCCATTTCTGGGATGGTGAGAAAATCCATCTGGAGTGTTTATGCCCCTCTTAATAGCCAAGATATAGATATTCTTTTATGTTGTGCTATTGAGGTCCGTCACTGCCCTCAGAAAAGACAATTTCACAATGACTTACTTCCTACTAATCACTGGAACAGTCTCATGAGGACACGCATAACTGCCGCCCATCCTCAAGCCTGGCACATGGTCAGAGCGAATAAAAGACCTGGCCTAGTTCACAAAGCAGTCAGAAGTGATCCAGAGTTCAGGCTTCCCCTGCCTTTCATCCTCCACCTCCTTCCTCCGCCTACTCTTCCGGTTTCTCCATCTGGAAACCATGAGCTTCATGGATTCCAGGCACAGATTCTCAGATTTCAGATGTTTGGGAAATTTCTCAGCTTGGGTCATTCTTCAAGAGTAAGAGAATTTAATTTGGGAGGGAAAAAACAGCTGAGACCCTTCCACAGAAGAGAAAATAAATAAGGTGTGGTGTGTATCCGTCCACTCGTCAACTCAGTTCCAAAGCCACACACAATGTCTAACCTCAGAAAAATATTCAGACTCCCCCAGGGAAGGAACAGAATGGAAAAATAAAATCTCCACTCATAAAAACATACTTTCTCCCTTCTATGGTATAAACACAACTGGCATCAGATAATACGATGTAATTGATTTTGCGTGTGTTAGTGGGAAGAAGAGGGTCTCTTGAGGGTAGACTTAAGAGCAATGGAATGAAGCAAAAAATAAAATTTAGACCCAAGTTGTAGGGAGGAAACTGTTAACATTATGAACCACTTAACCCTACTGTTGCATCTCTAGGAAAAGGAGCAATGTGCACCCTTTGTCTTCAGAAAATGGAATGAGCATTCTCTCCATACTGAGTATTAGGAGCAGACAGACTTGGTTCTAGTATGGCTCTGCTCTTTACTAACTGAGGAATTAGATGAGCAGATGATCTGCAGGACTCAGTACAGTGCCTGACATTATAGGAAACACTTAAAAATGGTAGATTGTGATTCCTATTCATTAAGCTGACATTTGACCATCAAAAAATGGAGAACTCTTGGGGATGTGGTAGATGGAACGTGCCCTTACTGAGTCTTTAGATCCTCCTCCAGGCTATTGCATGATCCTGTCTACGACATGACCCTGTTACACATTTTCATATCAGCCATTATCCCCTCAAATTATGGTGTGAGTTTATTTGTTCATATGTCTAATGTCTGTAACTCTTTAAAGGTTGTATTGTTTGCTGTTGTATTACCAATGCCAACAAAATCACCTGACATGGAGTAGCTATTCAAAAATGTTGTAGACTTACTGATTAGCTTTCAGATCCAGAATTACTCCAGATACTATATCTTGGTGCAGAAAACTGGAAGATGCCTTTGGCGACATCTACCCCAGCATGAGCATCCAAAGCAGGTGGCACTAACAAAAGTCACCTGCTTGTCCCAGAAGAGAGAAGAGAGTTGGGAGACTAACCACCATCCCTGCTATGCCACTCACAGGCTTTGGAGGCTTCTGCAGGCCATTATTTCTCTCCATACTCCACACACAGGTTGGAGGCTTCTCAGTTCCCTTGCAGCTCTAATACTGTAAGATCTTGACAAAGTAAGAAGTGACAGCAGGAATGTGAAGGTGCTTCCTCTTTTTTTGCTGTCCATGTATGGGCACATATGTATGTGTATATATGTGTTGTTGGGTAGTATACAGGTGTGAATATGTGCACAGGTGTGTATATGTGTACTTGATGCAGGAGAACTGGGCTCATATACAGATTATATGGAGAGCAACCATTCCCCCTAATGTGCAGAAGCCAGGAAAAATGTACAGTAGTCAAGTAAGTTGGGAAGTCAAACAGTAAGCTAATAAAGTTAAACTCACTTCCTCCCTATGGAACTTCCAGAGCTTTTTATATGTGCATGTGTGATGTGGAGCTTCAATGCAACAATTTTTCTGAGTTTCTGGATGTAACAATGTTCTGGTTTCTGGTGATCCCA